AAGTTGTGTTAACATCACTGGTTATCTCAGATGTACGAGCTCATTGTCCTCAACCTTAGGACTAATTTATCCTTGAGGTAAACCCTCCAGAGCCTTCTGTACCTATTTTTATAGCTGATCTAGGTATCACTATAGCAGAACCAACATTTGTAGTCAGGGCTGACCATTAAACCACTATGCCCTTGTAGAGTTACATAAACCCTAGCATCTACTTCACAGCATATCCAAAATACTTTAGTATACCTTTGCCGGTTCACCAAACTCCTAATTCAGATAGCCCAGTAGGACTTATGACTGGTCTATTGGTATATCAGGTCAGCCTGATATCCTTTTCCTCTAGCTCGATCTGGTGGCCTGGTTGGTAGTACCCTCCACCTAGAGATTTTTGTCTGTCTAGCTACTTCAACCTTGGTAACTATTTTATAAAGCTAGTCTTTACAATAGGACCATCGAAGATCTGGCTAGCTCTTTATTCAGATCTTCCCAAATAAACTTCTTGTTACCCAATTTCAACGGATTTACACAGCCACAAAGACTTATCTAGTGTTTGCACTGCCTATTGCAGTTTGCATTCTTTCATGTAACCACAACCTTGTCTCAAAGGACAATGGCATGTGACCTGTTACACAAATGCCCTATGACCTATCAGTCATGCTAGTGCGACTGCCATTACAGGTATCCTAAACTAATCGTTAGTAACAGTTGTCATAATATAAATATTAGATAGGTGATTATCCAAATTTTTGTTGTCAATGGGATTTGAACACCCAACCTACCACTTGGAAGGTTGACAACCTGACCACTTCACTAGGTCACCACACCCTAAATTAATCATTTTATTTATTTTGAATAACTTAATAAATATATTATTTAAGAAGATAGTAATTTTAGTATATTGGTTGGATTGTTATCCTTTAAGTGACAGGTCTAAGGTTCAAATCTCATCTATAATAAAATTTGAAAATTATATCTGTATTATGGTAACTGTCTCCTGTCGATTAGTTGGTCTCATGCTGCTGTAACTCAAGTACATCAAGTTAGATTTTACCAACATTGGGAGCTAGAGGTATCTATGTAAAGTATAACATTACATATATATTTAGTAATATATAATTAGTATTGTATAAGACTTCAGTGCAAACCTACAATAAGACCACTAGGTGTAGAAGACTAAGGAACCAAGGTGATAGATACCTACTTGGAAATTTCCAAGAAAAGAGGTAGCATGAACCTTTGATAATACTATCAGAATAGTTGAAGCTTATGAAACACCTTAATAGGAACTAAAGGTTAAACCAGAAATCAAATATATAGAAGAGCATATAACCAACCAGGTTGCCAAATTAGCCAAAAAAAGGATAAAGAAGTATACTATACCAGGTTATCTGAATTGGTAGTCTGGAAAAGACTACTCTTCTGAATTGTAACTAGTAAGAGATGATAAGAAGATGTTGAAAAAATAGATACTAAGGTTCTAGTGAACTTTATAAAAGTAGAAATAGTGTAACATATTAATTTAAGGTTAGCTCTGACTGCAAGTGTTAGGTAACTATAACATGTTATATAAAACTAGGTTAGCTGTATATGAGACACAAAAGGTTCTAGTAACAATGCTTCTGAAAATATACTGCATAAAATAAAATATGAGGTTCTAAGGATATGGGTAAGCATCTAGATCTTCTCAACTGACTTATATAGTAAAGATGATTAGTAATACAGTAAGGATTACAGTACAAAGAGTTTAAATAGGCAACACCTTTAATTGGATTACAAATATGGCACCTAGTATAGAACTATCAGCAGACTACTTAATTAGATACCAAAAGTATATATGTGACTAGTTATACTTTCTAATATAAGGAGACTTTTTCATGAGTCCCTATATCCTAACTACTGAATAAAAAAACCTAGCTCCAAAAGAAGCTAGTTTAAAAGAAATAAATAAATAAAATAAATATATTATTTATTATTGCAAAGTTTAAATTTGAAAAAGTATAATAGTTATAGTTATATTATTAGTTAAATTATCTGAAGTAGAATAGTAATTGAAAAAAGAAAAAGAAAATAAAGTTAGAAATATTGATGATATGAAAGAACTATATCAACAACTAGAATGAATAAACAAAAGACTTATTATAATTAACACCCAAATTAGAACATATTCAAAACTCTAATCAATATATCAAAATGTCAAACCAATCTATAAAATAAAAAAAAAGAAGTTAAAAAAAAAATAAATAAAAAAAAAAAAATGTATAAAACTTATCCAATGTTCTGAAAACTAAAAAGTAAAATAAGAAAGACCTATCTTTACCAAATTCTAAGTTATGAACAAATTTGAAAACATTCTAAAAAGAAACTTGATATTATTATTATAAGATAAAGAAATATGTCATTAATAATGTTCAAAAGTTATTATATTGCAAGAAAAGTATGCTTTTCTTTTTACTATACTTATTGAAGAATAAGGTGCCAAAATTTAAGAAATGATTGATAAAGTCTTTGAAAATTACAATCTTAATAATAAACAGCTTTCACAAGCTTTTAAACTTCTTTTAAAATTATTAAAAAACATACTTGAAGATGTTGAGAAGAAAAAAGAAGATATGATATACCTACTTCTATATATATCAATTAAACTCATTTCTTACAATTGTCTATACCTAAAAAGATTTTATTTCTAATACCTTCTATAACCTCTATATCAAAAGTTATTCCAAAATCTTGATAACCAATACTGATCATACTTGACATCTACATTGATTTTGAAAAATTAATAAAAAAACTTATTGAATATATTAAATAACATGAATTGAAAAATGAATTAGAAGACTTAATTAACTGTTATTTGAAAACTATAATGACTAAAACATCTGAATCAAATTCATCTAAAGAACTAAAATTTATTAAAATGAAAGAATTCAAGACATCCAATTATAACAAAAAATCAACCAAGATAATTAAAACAATTGACAATAATGAAAAAGAAGATGAAAAGAAAATTGATATAAACTTTCAAATATCTGTTGATGTGGATGATAGTGACTATAATAGTAATAACAATGATGGAGTGATAATAATTATAACTATAATCACAATAATAATAATAACAATGATGATGATATAATATATGAAAATGAGGATAAGACTGAAATTGAAAAATATAAAAAGAATAAAATTGAAGTTGAAAAAGCTGAATACAAGAACTCTGATATATAACATCTCATATTAAAAACCCTAAATAAATTCTGTGAAAATTGGAATAGAAGAGTTAATGAGTTCAAAAATTTAATCTAAAACAATCTAAAAGTGATAAATGAAACTACTAATGCTAAAAAAAATATAATAAATATTGAAATTAAAGTTGAAAAAGACAATTCTAAAGAACTTGAATGATATTCAAAAAAACTAAGAATGGTAATTTTGATGGATGGCTAATCCAAGATGACCCAAAAAAACCTGCCAACATCAAAGAAGAGACATTGAATATTGGAATCAAAGTTGAAATGAATGATCCTAAAGAATTTGAATGATTTTCAAAAAAGGCTGAAAAGAGTAATTTTGATAGATGGTTGATCCAAGATGACTTAAAAGAATCTACCAATGCCAAAAAAAAGACACTGAATATTGAATTGAAATTAAAAAGGATGATTCTAAGGAACTTGAATGATATTCAAAAAAGTCTGAGAAGAGTAATTCTGATAAACAATTGATCCAAGATGACCCAAAAGAACTTGCTAATGCCAAAGAGTATAAGAATAAAATTGGAGATGAAAACTATAAACATAATACCCTTCGATACTTACCAACATATGAACTATGCATCTTCAATCCCAGTGGTTTGACATTGTCTCATGGAACTCGACCTTGAGTCAAAGAGAAATGTGAGATCTGAATGGACCCCGGCCGGTTGGGGTCCATCGCCAAATTCGGAAAAAGGGTTGATCACATCTGTCACATTCATCGCATGTGACCGATCAATGTGATGCATGTGACGAATGTGACAGATAGCAGCTATAGGCCAGAAGGGTATTTTGGGAGATATTAGTAGGATACGATGCATTGGTCGTATCAGTGATATCAGTCGTATAAATTGCACGATGTAAATAAGTATTCGTAATTATAAATAAAGGCCGAAAAGGCCCTTTGGAAGGAAAAACAATTCCCGCACCTTGACAAATAAAATAATACATTCGCTAATACATAATCTGTCCCCAACTTGTAAACACTAAATTCCGTCAATACACTTACCTAATAACCAACCCGAAATCCCCCTACGATTCAGTAGACCCGATTAGAACTTGTTAACCACTCGCAAAATCTAACACGCCTTTTTCGACCGATATTAACCCTAAGTGGTTCTACAAAGTACCCGATTTTGGAGCCATCGACCTGGCGATCTTTAACCGATCACACCGTTGGTAATCTTACTTACTATTCCTTGTTATAATAAGTATAACCATTATTAAGTCATTCTTTAAACAACATTATTATAACATGGGTGTTAATAACCCGATTTGCCATCAATTTGAAATGCTAAATGTATTTAAAATATATTATTTTAACAAGAAATTATATCTCTACTGATTATCTTTATATATATTATTTTTATAATTCATGAAAAATTAAAAAACTTTAATATATTCCGTTAATCCCGCGCGGGTTTTTTAAAACTCTGCGATTTGCCCATCACTATCATTAACTCTTAATCTCTGCACGAGTCATTTAAAATCGCAATATTACTTATGTATGTCGCCATTTTAGATATGTATCTAAAGTGGCACCTGACTAGAATTACATGCACAAAGATCTAATTTAAGAGATATCTAAAGTAGCAACTTCAGATACAACATGTATGCACGTAGTTCTCATTTAAATAATATTCCCAGCATCAGATCTACGCAATACGTATGATTAATATAGTAAACAAATTTAGAACAATACCACGGGATTAATATGCCTATATTTATATGAAGTGATAAGATGATCTTTATTTATATAAGATCTTTTTCAGTTTTGTTAATTAACACGAACATCTCATTTCAACTCTTCCGAAATGGTAGCATTACCAAACGAGTGCCTTTCGGAAATATTTACAAACCTTCCTGATGATATTTATTATAGGAAAAATCTATTTTCATGTCTTCTTGTAAATCGCCAGTGGTGTAGGAATGTTGTGCCAATATTATGGGAAGGTGTATTGCAATCATTTATTAAACCAACACAATTAAATATATTCCTTTCTTTGTTAAATGCAGAAGAACAGATGTTATTAATTCCATTTAAAATAACCCTTCCTACTACATCAAAATTATTATTTAATTATGCTTCTTATATTACAATTCTCAAAACTTCTCATCTAAAAGATGGAATAATATTTTGGCTTAAACATAATTATCATCAAATTTCTCCAATTCCAATTGCACATTCTTTAATCTCCATGTTTATACGAACAAGTAAGAATCTCAAAGAAATAATAATTTTTGATGATAATGAACTTGCTTTGTTTCCGCCAAGTGCAATGTTTGCAAAATATGAACCTGGATTATCTCAATTAGTTACATTAGAATGTAATATTTATGCACATAATAATCTTAGTGCTCCAATCACATTAGAATTTTTAAAGGCTTTATCTACAATATGCGCTAATATTAGGAAAATAGATTTATCATTCAGATCCAGTAATCCGAGTGAAGAATTAATTACATTTTGTTCCAACATAATCAAAGTTCAAAAGAAGTTAAAAATCCTTCATTTTAGTCAAGTATTGGGAAACACTGGAAAATTAATTACGGCCTTAGAACAAAAACTTTTTTTAGAATATCTTAAATTTTTCAAAGTGGATTTTTCAACGATATCACCTTCCGATATAAAAGTACTCACACAATGTAGAAATGTGAATAGTTTAAGATTTATAAATTGTAGAGGGATGACATTAGAACATTGTGCTTCATTATTAAATTATCCATTAGATAACTTGACAGACCTTAAGCTTTTAAGTGGAAGTTTTGATTTAGATATTGTAAATTTTTTGATTGATATGTGGGGTCCAACTTTAATAATATTATATTTGGATCGGATTAAAACAAATAAACTATCCAATACATTGATAAACCGCTGTTCAAAGCTCAAATCTTTAAATGTCAACGTCAGAGATGGAGATGAATTCTTGTTACCATTTCTTAGTCAATCATCTCTCATACATTTGACTATGGTATCATATTATACCGCAAGTTTTTCTTATGAATTGGGCCAACATTTACCAACTACATTAAAACATTTAGAATTAAAAAAGTATTATTTAGCTTCAGAAAGCTTTGACAAATTTTTAAAAAATTGCAAACACTTGGTTAAATTAGAAAAACTTACCATCGGAACTACTTCACCAATGTTGGATCACTATTTAAGTCTTAGGGAGTTCATTGAATCTTGCAACAGTTTAAAAATGATTACATTTTATTATAGAGATTTCTTTATAAATGATATGGAGGAGGAAAAGATTAAGGCCGTTATTAAAGAAATTACAAATCTTGGTGTTCATTGTAAGTATTATGGTTATGAAGATAGGTCTGATGATTATTAATTTATATGTTTAGGTTATTTGTTAAATTTTTTTTTAAATTGAATTAAACTTATATTATTCTTGGTTTCAGCTATTGATTAATAATAAAAAATTGATGCTACGTTAAAAAATAGATAATCGAATAGTTTCATTATTATTTATCTTGTGTCAATAGAATATGACAATTGAAGCTAAAAAGAAATATAAGAATCAATAGTCTCACAATTGATATATTTTATGCAGAATTAAAAGTTGATGGGAGTATTTATGTATTTTGTGCAAACTTTTTGTGACAAGATGTTAAAAATCTGCATTTAAAGGAGAAATATGTACCGATTAAGCATAGTTTATGAATACCATACTGCATGCGTCTACTATTCATTATCGATTTATAACGTAATTTGGTCATATTCTGATATATATATCTGCCAAATAAGCTACCATACTTGTTAGAGTGTAAAAAACATTTTGATACCAATAAATGGCATTGAAAAATTTGATATTTGAGTAAAAGTAACCGAAATTTGTATATGTAATCACAGGTTCATTAGATTATTACTTAGTGCAATTTAAGAATTAATATTTTTTGCTTTATCAAAGGAAGACTTTTAAATTCATAGCTGATTGGACTCAATTTGCATCTTGTTAGTAGCTGTGTTACCCTTGTTTAGGATCATACCATGCATGCATATAGTTGGCGGTAGAATTCATTTAACAAATTAATACGGTTACGTATTATTTTCCGTAATTTCTTTGAGCCGTAACCGTAACGCCGTAATGCCGTAACCGTAACGCCGTAATGCCGTAACTGTAATGCCGTAATGGCATAACTGTAATGCCGCTATGTCAAATACAATAATGCTAATGTATCTAGATACCATAACGCTATTGTGTTAAAATAATATAATACTGCAATTAATGTTGTTAGACGAAACCTAAGGG